GACGAAAGAAGAACACCTTTAGTCTATTGAGTAATATTTATAAGGTAAGTTTACAATTTGAAGATCTAAGGAAACATAAAGAGTGAATTCATCTGCAATAGTGGTAGTAATCATGTGAATATTAAAGATTCCCATTGTGAAAATTAGAACAACACATATAAGCGAACAATATTGTTTTCAATTAGATCGTCATCAGGCTTTATTCTAATATACAGCTTAACCAACGAATGAGTGAATGTCTACCAGCTTGGTTTATAAAGGACCAGATGAAAACAATACACCGTTCTTTCTTGGTACATCTTATTGATATCGGTCATACTGTAGATAAATCGGAATCATTTCGAGTGATCTATCGTATACCTCCATCATTTCCTAACGGAGTTCGTTCCCATCTCTTACATATAGCTGAAACCATAAGAATTCGCACATTTAACCTCAATTTATTTGTACAGAGGAAATTCGTGACCTCCTATCTCTTCCGTGGTCAGTTATCACTTAACAAACGACTGTTTTTTAATTTTATTTTTGTTATCATTAGCATTATTTATATATTCCTGTATTTATTCGTAATTTTTCGCTTCTTTCCGTTTGTATTCTTCACTATCTAATTACTTAAAGCGATTAATCCCTTTTATAAATTTCGATAGAACGATGAGAAGACGGAGTTGATTTGAAAAATTTGATGTATTTGCGCTATACATTTCGAACAATCTGGTCACACCTTTATTAATTTTCATATAAAAAATGCCCTGACAACTATATGTGTGACCATATTGTTCGAAATGTATAGCGCAAATACATCAAATTTTTCAAATCAACTCCGTCTTCTCATTGTTCTGTCGATATCTAATTATTTACACACTTTTTATTACATAATGGTTTTAATGTTTCGTGATGATTATTCCAAGTCTATTTATCCACGTTTGACCTTCTATTTCCAATGTTTAACTATTGATCTGACCTTTGTTATCGTATTTTATTTTATTATTCTTACTACGATCAGTATGCTTGTGTTCTTACTATCAACTTGTACTTTTACCTAGTATGTGTGCTGACCTATTCTTATTCATTATGATTATCGAGTCAAATTACCTTGATTGGTTTAACATTTTCGTAATAAATAATCATGTAAATTAGAGTTAAAGCCTGATGACGATCTTTATTGAAATTAATTGTTTACTTACATTTATTGTTCTAATCATGTGGTGGTCAGTGTTTTTATGGATTTCTACTACATCATTATGTGGATGTCCATAGTTCTTTTTCTGATCCGCTTCTACACCCACAAGCATCGCTCACTGAGGTATGCTATATGTAATACATATGCTGACGATCTTATTGTATGAGGATTCATTACCTTATTATGTAATTCATCATTCTTATCTAGTGCTTTTCGATTAACATCAACACTACTTACACGGTAGTCTTAATCTAATGTCATATATTCAATACCTAATCTATTTTACAGTCATAAAAACTAGTATTACTTTCACTAAGAATATTGTCAAGTTTATTATTGATACTGAACTCTAATAATAGTTAAATTTGTTTGACGTCCTGGTAATACGTACTATAGGACTGATTAACAATAGTCATAAATAAAAGTTACTAAGGTCTCAATTTATTAATGATTATGTAATTCGTAAATTCAAACCGATCTGAAATGATTAATTGGTCAAGAAAGATTTTAAAATTAAATGAATGAAGAAGAACCCTGATGTCATTAATAATTAGGTCTTTAGTTTTTTGATTCCCTGTTTTATTATCTTAGTTCTTTCACCAATGTTATTTCAGTCAACTGGTTCTCTTTACAAATTCAAATAAAATGAGAATGACCATACTTACAGAACACGATTAATTCATTCGTCTTGTTACGTTTTTTTGTTTTTAACTACATATGGACTAATATAAAAAAGCGGATATTAGGAAATGATGGTAAATTAGTTGATGAGGTTGTTAATACTGAGATGGTTGGGTCACGTGTTGCGTATGTCTGGGCACCGATTACCACGACGCGCAATGCTAACCGGTGTTGGGAGTGGTTGGGAGAAAGTTAAGGGCGCCCAAACCAAAACGTAGCATCAGTCCACATAGTCACTAACTTCTAATCTGAGCCATGTTGGTAGATGCACGTGTCTATCGTAGCCCATGGTTGGAGACTCTTGGTGACATGGTTCAGAATCGACCATAATGACGTAGGTGTATACACTCTCTGTCTTCCTTTAAACTATGAGATTAAAATCGCTTCATATTTTTTTTCTACAAACTAATTCTTTCTTCCTGTACTATATCCTTATTGCAATTTTTCTTTTATAAATTACCACCACTGAATTAACTACTTTTGTGAATCCAGTGTCCACCTTGTTGTGCTAAAGCCGTATGGCAACTTGGACCGATGCATATATGTGCCTGGTCCTACGTTGTAGCTGACTGACTGGGCTAATATAATTCATTATTTTCAGTTATTAACGTAATATGAAAAAATGAATTGTCGATCAATAACGGATAAGTAGTGTCTGTAGTGAGAAGCATTTTAAAAAGGGGTTCCTTTTATGACCACTTTTGATGATAGTTCTAATATAATAAAAATAGTTATATGATATACTGTCACAAAAATATTTAGAGATTTAGAAAGCAAAATAGATCGTCTGAATTTAATTCATTCGATTGAGATTACAAATAACGGAAGAAAAGAGAAGTCAGGTATCTTGAATCACTTGTGTTACTACTGTATTTAAAATCATATTTAGGACTTCTAATTGTTATGTTCTTTGAAAATTTTAATGAAGTAGATTTGAAATGTTCATTGAGAACTTTGAAAGTAACCATTCAACCCTCGTTGTACTCCTTGTCTAGAAAGTAGCATGTTTACAAACTATGAAAGGTTTTTTCATCTTATAGGCAGTGTTCGTTTTTTTTCTTATTATACACAACATATGCCAACATAAGACTGGTCAATTACAGTCCTAAACAATAATGGGAAGATACAAGCTAATAATGTCAAGTGAATTTAAACTTCACCTCATTGCACAAGCGAGTGACTTTTAGGGCTCATTAAGTAAGTGAATAACGCGATGGCGTTTGAACTGAACTGTGCTAGATTAGAGTCTCTGAATTGAACATCAACTCTGGGATGCAAGTACATTCGGTTGAAGAGTCCCAAATAGGATGAAACGTTCGTCGTGTATTCCACTGTTATCTACCATCCATCTTTGGTTATAAAGCTTATGACTTAAGTCTATACCGAGGTAGTCCGCACAGTATGCACATATGCCAACAAGAGACTGATCAATTTCAGTTTTAAACAATAATGAGAAGATATAAGTAAAACAACACCAAGTGAATATTCATGATTATTTTTCAATATTAATTCAATAATCTTGTTAAAATACTTTGTGCTGGGAATTCTATGTTGTACCAAGACTATAATACTGAATAGAGCTGGTGATAATAATAATAATAATAAAGACCAAACCAAGAATCTTTAGGTTTCATGACAAGTTCATAACCTTTAAACCGTCTAATTAAATACCTCTAAATCCATATTTCCATATTCAAAGATTAAATATCGTCATACAGTTGAATCATTCTATTCAAACGATAAGTCTTGCGGATTGAACGCTATATTCGTCTCCTAAGCTATTCTGTAATCCCCAAGCTAGAACTGTACAGCGACCTGAACAACGAGAGAGAAGACTTAAAGTATACGAGAAGTAGTTTACTTCAAGGTTCATTTTAATATAGAAAATACAGGGTTTTTATAATATTTTGAATGTCTTTGGGTTGCTAGAAGATTCTGGAATGCTACTAAACATAGTAGCAGCGTAGTAGCCAGCCAATCAGGATCTCGACATGTGACGTTTCGCTTCCTTGATATTTTTGGCTAAAACTTCAAGTGAACGCTGATTGGACGAAACGCATCTTAGTGATTCCTGATGCTTGCTTGTCTTTTGCAAGCAATTTTCCGGATCACCCCAACACAAGTTAAATTAATTAATCATACTTAAAATGAATAGAATAATCAAAAATAAAGAATATTAGAGCAAACAATTGTTTTCAATAACTTCATCATCAAGCTCTACAGTTATTAGTCCATAAATATTACACATTATATTCATACAACAACATTATTGTTCACTTGGTATTTTTTGACTTGTATCTTTCCATTGTGGTTTAAGATTGCAACTTATCAGTCTGTTATTGGTATATGTGGATTCTATACTTTTGCCTTGATATTACCTCAATTCACAAGCCATTTGTAAGCAATGGTGGATAGTAGCTAGCAGTGGAATGCAGGACGCACGTTTCGTTCTATTTGTGATTCGTCAGCTGGATGTATCTGCATCTCAGAATTCATGTTCACTCTGGGACTCGAACCCAGTACCATTCGCTTCAAACGCCATCGCGTTATCCACTCAGCTACTGAGTCCTTATTATTATTATTAACTCCATTGACAAGATGAAATACAGTTGGACAACTAACTAACTGCTATGATGAACAGAAAAGTCAATTTTCGATTGATTTACTCATTATGAGTTTGTTCAAGATTACTTGTGTTTTGATTCAATATAGTGATTACTCAATGTACTATTTGTTTCCTTTTCCCAGTATGATATTTTCTTCTGTATAATATGAGATATTCTTGTATTCCATTGACATGAACTATGCTCATTATGTGATTTGTTATATATATGATTTCATCTTAATTATTAATCCAAATGGGTGTACAATCAATATATAAATGAATGTATTTTCGACTATTATGATTCGTCGTTGTCATAGTGTTTTGGGGTTAATAAATCTTCACTTATACCAGTCTTTATGTTCTTACTTTCGCATCGTGAGAATTGCAGAGATCCCTCGTTCCGACTATAAGTGATCAGCGTTTTTTCCCACATAACAATCTAAGACGACCGAATATAAAGTTTCTAAAATAACTAATTATTATACAATATTATTTCTTATTATTTAAAACATCTTTTTTTCTTCTCTCGTTTAGATGTTTTATTCATGGAGTAAATTTTAATTCAATTGATTATGATGGACGTACTGGTTTACATGTAGCTGCTAGTTGTGGTTCATTAGATGCTGTCAAATTTTTTATTGAAGTTTGTGGTGTTACACTTAATCCAATTGATCGTTGGGGGCATACACCATTAACAAATGCAAAACAATTTGGTCATGAACAAATTGTTGAATATTTAGAAAAGTAAGATTATGTAATCATTTGTAAATTTTTAAAAAAAAAAAACTAATTTTTTTTAGTAAATATTCAATTTTATTTAGATAAAGAAGATAATACAGAATATGGACATGATGTTGCGTAACCATGGTAACAGTAACAAGGAATTAGTTGAAACCTATGAATATTGTAAAAGTTCAGGTAGTCATCACTAATTGAATGCTTCATTATTAATAGAAGAAGATAATTTCAATAGTTTAGCATGAAATCCCTGCATTGTATTATTTCTGATGATAGTTAAACTTAGTAAAAGTACATGATTTGCATGATACTTGTTTTCTTTTAAATGATAGTTGTTTTTATAAACAAAATGAAAATATATTTGTAAATTATTAACTTTCTAAATTGGAACAGAATTACTGTTTGTACATTGGAAGAATCTTTGATGTTGATAGAGATTTGTTCTCTGAGCTGGATGGTTTGATCATGGAGCTTTCGTCGTTCTTCTGAACGAAATCATCAGCAAAAACTTCAGATAGACTTCTATCTAAATGAACCATCGAGCTCAGAGAACAAAACTCCATCAAAATCATCCACCTGAGCTACAAATCTTCTCCACCATTTCAGAATCTCTGATGTAGAGTGCATTAACTTATGACTAGTCATAAAAGTGGAATAACTAATAAGACTTATATATATTGATCCGTTCCATTGAATACTGATGTCATCATTGTTAAATATCTATATATTCATTGAAACGAAAGGAATGTTTATAAAAACTGATATCAAAGTGTGAGACCGAGTTTGTTTTGAATGAGATCATGAACCAATTGATGTTAGACCACCATTGAAAGCCTGGAAGCACTGGTTGGCCGTTTGGTCCTGTTGTAGGACTCTTTAGCAGTGCGCATTCACAATCCTGCTCGCAAGATTCGAGCTCACGGCCTATCAGTCTCGCGCGCGATCGTTTAACTTCTAGACCACTAAACCGGTTTCTAATGGTGCTAATGTCTATTCTCAACCAATTCGCGAAGTTGCGCGACCATCTTTCATCGTGCTGAGGTAGATACCTGTCTTTATCCAACACGGATTAGTTCCACTGGTCTCCACTGTTTCTGTAATTTTACTCATTATTTAGGTAAAATATCTATATTTACCTATATTAAACTAAGTTTACTAAATTTTCAAAGTCATATACTTCAGAATATCATCTAACAGTTGGGTGATCTCTAAATAGTGACAAATACCATGTCTGTTTAGTCTTTTAGTAATGATTCAATTTTAACAAATAAGTAGTAATTGGTTTGAGTGACTAAACATTGTATGTATTATGTATTGATGTTACATAATTGAAAGTTTAGAGTAGGAAGCCTTGAACCTAGATTTCATATTACTTAGTTTACGTAAGTAGTATGCACCTTAATTTGTGAAGGAAATTATACTTCGAATCTTGATGTATTACGTAAAACCTACGATACAAATGAACTATAAAAGTCAAATGAATTGACGAACATTTAATTTTTGTTGGAGTGATCCAGAAAATTCCTTGAAAAGAAAGTTTAAAAAAGCTCTGAATACACTGAGGAGCATCGTATCCAATCAGCATTCACTAAACGTTTTGCTAGAAACATCTAGAAAGTGAATAGTCATATGTTAAGTTTCTGGTTGGATGATTACGTATACTGTTACTATGTTTAGTAGCATTCCAAAATTATCCAAAAACCCAAGGATATCTGAATTATTATAAAAAATCCCAGATTTTCTGTACATAAACGAATCTTTGGAGTAAAGCATTTCTTCCATAATTCGCACCTTTTCTCTCGTGTTCAAGTTGCTGTGTAAATCTAGACTGAGGGTTACTAGAAGAGCTTAGGAACCAAATCTAGCGTTCAATTAGCAAGACTTATCAATTTTATAACTCAGCGATTTACAAATAACTCGATTATAGCGTTAGAAAGTTTGCTTCAGGTGAACAGAATACTAAAATCATATTTTCTCCTAATGGACAATTTACTTGTGTAGTAGGCAATACATTTAGTCTATTTATAAAATACTACTTTATACTACTGCATGCCATTCAAAAGTTATTTACTGATATGAAAAACAAATGATTAAACAAATAAAATAAAAATTTAATTAATTCATCATTTGAATCTGGAAGCATTGGACGGCTGTTTCGTTCTAATATGTTACTTCTCAGTAGTACGCATCCACGATCCCGCCCCGCGATTTAGATCAAATCAAATTAACGAGTAAGTTTATATGATATGCTCTAGAGGTTAGGCGTTCGCGCGAGAGACTAATAAATCCTGGTTTCGAGTCTCGCTTGACGGGATCGTGGATGCACACTGCTGAAGAGTCCCATATTAGGGCGAAATAGCCGTCCAGTGCTTCCAGGTTTCCCATGGTTATCTAGCTTCAATGGACTCACAAAATTAACTATAAAACTGCTAAAATGATTTTCATTCACTATTAACATTGGTTGTTTTTGCACGAAATATTGATGAAATGTGCTTCATTCACTGAGTGAATCCCTTATTATTATATATCCATTATCCCTTCTTTATTAATTGTGCATATACTTGCTATTATACACATTGTTTAAAAAAGTGTGACGTTTGGTTATGCTAATTTGGTTTTCTATTGTAATTCGTTGCATAGTTTTATTAATAAATTTTCTAAATCATAAACTACTTATATTTAGTAAAGTTAGTAGTATCAGTACAACCCAAATGTCATTTTATCTCTCTACGAAAGTGGAAATACATATTGATGAGATAATTTACTCCATAATACAAATCCTGATGAAACAAGAATAGATTGATAATGAACTTACCAATTGTTTGACGAGAAATTGTAACGTTTACACTTATTGGAAGATAACTAATCATCATTGATGGTACTTGAAGATGATTGAAGTGTATCAGAAATAGATTGAGTGGAAAAATGTAAACTAAAAGGATACTTATTAAGTGATCTAACCATGTTTCAATCCATGTGAAATTCCAAAGTGGCAGTACATTTGACTACCGAGTAGAATCGTAATAACGTTATGATGAGGTCATATATAACTTTAAAAAGATTATTGCTTAATATGGCGAAATTACTTGGTACTTTGGATATAATATTAAATCGATATGGTTCATAACCAAGCTATGAATTAATGAACTTGTTGAGATAAGATGGTAGTTGGAGGTAGTCGATAGGAAACCATGGACCCAGGTTTCTTGCTATTTGGCACTCGTCAGAAAAGTCAGTCGCGGCCCGGATAGCTCAGTGGTAACGTCTCTGAGAAGCTCCGTGACACAGGATCGAATACGTCAGGAAGCATCAGTTCCCTCAAGATTGCAGGCGCACCTTGCTGACGAGTGCCAAGTAGCACGAAACCCGTGTCCAGAGTTTCCTGTCGACTACCTCCAACCACCATCTAATCTCAACATAGTGCACGCCATGTCGAGTCACCTAGACTAGTGGCCACATTGCAAGTTGGTCAATAGGATCCGATCTACACTAAGCACGGCCTGACACATATGACATTGATTACCACACATAACGAACTCCTGTATAAATTCAGACTTGAGGAAGTGATAATAACAACTGCCATTTAGATTTATTTATAAAGTCTGTGGTTTGAATTTTAATTTTGACGTAGCTGGTCACTAGAATTTTTCTATAGATAATGTATACCGCTTCTAGATACTGTTGTACTGACGAAAAGGAGTCGGAAAAAAACATTTTTTGAAAAATCTCAGCGAATGAATTCTGAGATTTTACAAATACATACTTCCTTTTTAATGTCTCACATTAACACGGCGCTCAAATACTGTGAAACTATTCGATCAAACATCTTTTGTAGTGACGTTTTATCGTAAATATTTCACAAAAAGGAATATGTAACAGGATTGATGATAAACTTATCTAATAAAAGTTGGTTTATTCATTTAGTTATTTGATTTAATTGTTATACACCCGTTGGTGCACAAATCAAACATTCAAAATTCTTTTATTGCTGATATACTACTTAGAAATTAATTAGTAGCCATATATAGTAATAATATAAATGGTGATAACATTATTTTGGAGGGTAGTTCCATGGTTTGATCATTCTTTATTTACATTAATTAAGAAAAGAATACAATAATAAACTATTATCATCAATCAGTAGAGAATGGAGTTGTGTATGAACTCGTCCTCATATGACAGATACCTTTTATTAAAACATTCTCCTAGGTAGATCGTGATTTCTCTAGTCATCTACTAACTTGTAGTATATTTTCTTATCTAACAAATAAATAATTAATTTCTTTATGAAAAAAACTATCATTTGCTTTATCTAATAGATTCCAAATGTGTATATTGAACCGACTTGATGAATATATAAAGATTAATGATTGTCTCATAAAATGATTCTGTTCCAGGTTTTCCAAGGTGATCTGGATTTAATCGACTCATGTGTGGACTACCTTGATATTGTCTTAAATCATAAGCTTTATGAGCAGAAATGGATAGTGGATAGCAGTGAATTCCAGGACACACGTTTCGTTTCATTTTGGTAAATTCAAACATTATCCCATTGCACAATCAAGTGGCTATAAACAGTCATTAGCTAAGTGAATAATGCAATAGTGGTTGAAGCAAACGGTACTGGGTTGAAGTGTGATACAGATATATCCAGCTGATGAATCTTATTTAAGATGAAACATGCATCGTATATTCCACCGCTATCCACCATCTAGCTTTTCTTGTAACAAACATTTGTGTTAAAGTCATTCACTGTCTAACAAGAAATAATATAGACTTAATATAAGTGCTGTAACTTGTGGCTTGTGTGCCCTGTTAATGTATAACGTGATGAAACCTCCAATTAGGGAACAATGAATTACCGATCGGATCAATGACGCATAAAACTAGTACAAGCAGTCTAGTGTCCTTATCGGTCCTGCTTCCCGCTTAGCTCTATCTGTTAAGTCTAGAACACCAATCTCAGACTCTGCAATATGAATCATTCTATTTCAAACATACTGGGTGTATAATGCCAACTAGACAGACCATATCGTACCATAAAATAGAAAAAAAAAATTTGTATAAGATTTAGTCAAATATGGCTGTGAATGTGGGAGTTCGTATTTCATAGACAGTTCAAAACATCATTCATAATTATTTCAATAAAAACAGATTATTTTTAAATATATAAAAAAATTTATTGACTTTTTTGGTTGTTATTATAATTAGTGATTTATTGATTTTCTATCTATTTTCTTTTCTTTATATTATTCTTTATATTATATAGTAAGAATAAAACAAATCAATAATTCCAGAATCATGGATACCAAAGTGTGTAATACAAGTAATATCTTCATTGAATTCGATTATTTCTATGAGATTTGTTTATTTAATTTTTATTTTGAAATTTATTCATCTAAATAAGAATAATAAGAATAAAAATGAAACCTAATAAAACATTATTTTTTTTCTTTAAAACAGTTATTATTTATTATTTTCTGATTGTTATACTACTGTTACTATGACTACTATTGTTGCTGTGAGTGATACGTTTACTGCTATCACTATTACTACTACTGCTACTATCACTAATACTACGGCTATCACTATTACTGCTACTATTGCCACTATCACTATTGCTGCTACTGCCACTATCACTACTATCACTAATACTACTGCTATCACTATTGCTACTACTATTACTACTATCACTATTACTACTACTGTTACCATTACTACTACCGTTACTATTATTACTATCACTACCACTACTACTATTGCTACCATTATTATTATTATTATTACTAATCATGGTAGCAATATCATGATTATATTCCTTTCTAAATGATATTCGTATTTAATTAAAGTGACTAAAAGATCATCTAATATAATTTAAGAGTATTTTATATTTAACTTTCGAAAATAATTTAAATGTGTATTTATCCTATTTCTAATAAGATTTTATGCATTTATGTATGATAAATTAGATTTTACTTACAAAATTAAATTACTTAATTACTTACTTATGCCTGTTACCCCCCTCCCAAGTGGAGCATAGGCTGCCGATCAGCATTCTTCAACTCATTTTGTCTTAGATCTGCCTTCTTTCTAATTCTATTCAATTATTGTTTATTCTTCTTCTTCCTCTTCTCATATCTTATTCTTCAAAAAAACATTTAATGAAATAATGAGAAATGAATTCAGTTAACAAATACATTACACTATTCAAAATCTGTCAAGTTATTTATATTCTTTAACATGGGAATAATGAACATCATAATAGTTACATATTTGAGTTAGTTAGTCATGTGTAATGTTGAAAGTGGCATATTTATTACCTCGGTTCAAGTTTTTACACCTTATTATCAAAAATGAATCTCAAGAGAAAATAGTGACGATATCAGTATTAGAGAGAAAAAAATATTAGTAATAGAAAGAAAAAGTTTTAGATCTAAGTGAGGGCAAAGAATGAATGTATACGTCATTGGAACCAATTCTAATTGATGTTATCCGAAAACTCCAACTACTGGTTACGGTAATTATGTGGATCTTAATGAGGTAGTCTGTATTTATTCATTGAACTAGAATGAAGTTGATTTAATAATAAATATATTTCTTTGTAGAATAACTGTATTCTGATGTTTCGTGACTTGATTTAAACTACTTCTTCAGAGTGAATGTCAATTATTTGTTTACTCTGATGAAGTGACTGACATAGAGTCACGAAACGTACGAAATACTATTTTTTATTCTCATTGAGATATAACAAAGAAATATGTTTATTATTAACTCTCTGCTCAATGTTCAACTTATTTGAAACGATCAAGTCTAACCCTGATATTGATACTAATGAAGTTGATCTGTTAGAAGTAACTTTGATTTGTTATACGGTAAGAATTCTCTGACAAACTGATAAAACGGGAAACGTTTATTTCCGTGAATAAGCTTTCTGGATTTGAAAATTTCAGTTTCTATTCTCAACAAAAATGTCAGTTTTGAATACAATAAAGTATTATGACAAAAAATACTATGTTATAAGTTTGTAAAACGTTATCTTTTAGACATTTAAGATGATAAGGTCTATATACATCCAGACCTTAAGTGTTGAATACTGCAGTGTTTATTTCAGAATATTACTAAATCTTGAATTGAATTTGAACATAAAATGTCATCAAATAGGTTATAGCTATTTTGAGGTTGTATACATCATACCAGCGCAGTATTGTTCGTTATGCACCACGAAATCGTTATTTGAATGTAGCTCAAAGTCCAATTTATGGCACCGGTTAGTGAACTAAAGCTCTCAATTATATATACTTAATATATGACTGATTATATTGTTCTTCAAGTAACATTTCAGTCAACCTACATTGTAAAAAGGACATGGGTGGTGTCATTTAGTCTTTAGTTATAACGTAATATTAGATAGTGAATAAAAGTGGGATCCAGTGAGTCTCTTTATTGAACTCATAGCTATTAGAATTAAAACAAACTCACAGAAATGTTGAGGGTCCAAACTGATGAGAAGATCAACCTCGTCACATCCCAAGTTTCTAGAATTTTTGGATCAAGAGTTACCTTTTAGAACATGCATTACTTAGAGTTCATTAAAAATTATCAACGCTTTCAATCTATCACTCGCTTGTTCGAAACTGAGAATTCACATTACACTAAACTGTAAAATTCTACTTCACATTCGCAAGAAGAGATATTTGTAAAATTTAAGAGCACTTTATGTAAATATAGTTTAAGAAAGGGATTCCGATTACATCTTAGTACCCTAGAAGCACTCCTTCGTATTTGTTCTTCTGTATATATGTCTCGCAGCTTCAGCAATCTGGTCAAACTTTATCACGAAAGTGTTTAGGAAACACTCCATATTCTTGGAGAAATTTTCGAAGTCGATGTTTTGAGAATCCCTTCACCTTCAAGGTTAAGAGAGTGAAAGCTAATACCGTTATGAAATGTTCACACCACCTTTTATATTTATTTTAGACGCCATATTCGAAGCTTTTTCACTGTGCCTAAAAGGATCGTACTCTCATCAAATGTGCTCGGAAAAAAGAAATAACATGCGACTGTGCTAAACTATAAGTTATAGGGTCAGTGAAATATCGCTGAGATTTGGTGTATTCATTATTCAAGCTACGTCTTTTCTATGTTTGATGACTGATATTATGTGGGGCTATTTGTGAAATATTTTCAATGTCAGGAATTACCAGCATGAGTTATTAAAATGAACAGCATGAATAGACCAGGACAGCAGTGTGCCAATATTTTGTACTTCTTCGGTCTATTTGATCTTATTCAATGTTTTAATGGGTGTATTTCGTTTACTATTCCATTTAACTAACGATATAATTCTGGCATCCATTTCTTTGCTCGCTAGATGAGTCACATAGACAGGATGGCCCGTTACCAAGGTGATATTGAGTCAAAAAGTATATATAAGGTGCTGTTAGATTTTAACCTAAGTTTATGTTTATGCTGCAACTCCATTAACGTCTAACCTTAGTGGATTAATACTTGCATAACCACCCAACTTTCAAGCTCTTTATCTTGATCGAATATATGTACATAGACATATAAATGTACCATTTGTTGTATGAAGTGGCATGAAAGTGAAGCATACCCAGTACATTTCTATGACTAGTGTTCACGCTTCCCTTAGAGAAAGGATCACTTACTTCGCGCTCTGCTGATTCCAGACAGCTATCTTTTTATAAACATACAAGCTACACTATGAGGTACTTTCACCGTTTTTATATTCAAATGGATCACTGAAAAGATATATTTCATTTTCCGAATTCCCATGAGCTGAGAATTATGTGTCACTGCTTTTACGCTATTTATAGTCATACACAATAAATCGCTATGTCAATCACAACAGAAATTGATCATCACATGCCAGGACATATTAAATTCAACTGTCTTTGAGGCATTCAAGGTCGGTTACAAAGTCTTGGTTTAGCAAAGTTAGTAAAACCAAAAAAAGATAATATTAGTGTGGAACTGTTTACATCGGAGCATTTTGAGAGTCATGATACACTGGAAACTACTAAAACGCTTTGAGACGACAAACCTAGATGAACTCAATCAGCCTTTGAATAAGTCATTTGAATAGAAGCTAATAAAATTTAAAGATCCTATGCAAATAAATGGCTGATACCATATCTAAAATAAATAACATCGATAAGGAAGTCCTCTGTTCTTTTACACTAAATACTTCTTGATAAATTTGTTGCTTATCAATACAAGTTAATTTCTAAATAAACTCTAGGCATCAATTATGAGGTTACTACATGAGATTTCAATTAATCTGAGATAAACTGGAATACCGGTAATTGTCAGATATGTAATTGTGAATTCTTAGCGACAATTGAGATTGTAGGGCCAGTGAAATTTCACTGGGCCCTAGCGAAATCATACGGCATTTGGGTCACTGAATATCGAACAAATCATTGATTTTCGTCAAAGTCAAGGACAACCAACGCCTATCAATTAATCGCACGCCATGGACTGGCCCATGCGGTGGTGGCCTTACCTTTGCTTGTATCTGCTTTAACTAATATATTGCTGTAATAACGTCCTCTGTGTTGTGCAGTTTTCAACGCATCTGTTGTACCTTGATACGTCAATGCGGTAGTTTACGTAAAGTGTTGACCACGAGGTGCGACTTCGACGTTAGCTGGTTCGTAATACCATTTCCGTCTAACTCGAGTAGGCCTCCGATTATTCGACACAGATCATCTACGTTGGTGATCTAAAACTTATACTGCTGGTTACTATGGGTTCGTACGATAGCAAGACATAGTAATATAAATGATCTAATATTCTAGAGAAATATCCTAATGTTTATATAAGCGTGCAGTAGATGTGAAAGCAGCAACCATGAAATAGTAGTTATTACCCTTTTTATTTGTCCTCTTTATAACATTTCCATAAGAAATAGTCAATATAAAGATTAATAACATGTTGACTAGGACCGCCAGCGCTCACTGGTAAAATTGTAGAACAGAAATCTTTTCCATGTAAACCTTACGAATTATTTACACTAGACAAATGTGACAATAAATAGACAACTGCAGAAACATTACTTTGAGACCAACGATTTCACGTAGTTGCACAAAGAAATATAAGCTTTAACAAATTCGAAGAAAAGCAAAGGTTAATGTTCATCACTTAGGACTCGTTAGCACTTAATAATGGCTGACAATTAAAAAAATAATCTTTTTTTCAATAAACGTGTCACAGTAACTCAAAATGCAAATGTACCATGCATCCTGTGTTCTGACAAAATAACGACAAATCTTTTCAGTTCCATTTTGCGAACAATCCCGGGCTACCAAGTTTAGGGTATTTTGGGGAAACTCCCGAAGTCAAATGACCTTCACCAATGTATGGGGTGTGGAGATGGGCCTGACAACCTTATTTTGTAAATAGTTTTCAATGTTATTTGTATTCATTTTGTCAATCTTTCACTGTATGTACATTTAACATTAAATGACTGTAACTGTTGTTTTAGTAAATGACCTTGAACACACTTTCCGTTGTGCTACTACATAGCGTGACATACTGTTGCTGGCTAACAAATACACTGCTTCTCACACATTCCTCGTTCTATTTTCATTTGTGATTGAGTTAACGGAAGTCTAAATCAAATACTATCTACATTTATAGACTGTAATCGGAATATATCACATCCTACGTTGGACTATATCACTAGAGTTCACCAACCTGCTCAGAAACATCAAGCATTTATAATTGTGGATTTACATTACTGGACCTAATCAGAACACGCAACATTTGATCAATTTAAGTAACGTCTCTAATTTTTATAGTATTTGTAACAATTAATTGTATATTTTAATATTACTATTGATTATTAATAACTTTGTTTATACTTTTCGCGTTCATATCTGTTTGGTCCACCACAATTATTTGGTGAGCCTCGATTTTTTTATAGACATCTATTATATATATCTACATATTTGTTATTATTAATTGGCACGATACACCATATTTTTTGTTTTGTTTTTGCCATCATGAACTCTCCTGGTAAACTCATTGACTTAAATAGTCCACTGATCAACCCCTTGAACTCTTCACAATCAGAAGATAATGCCTTAACCTCGATCAACGCAATTTCAGACTTAAGACTACCAACGTACGGTGTTCATAATCCAAGAGTCTGGTTTGCACAAATTGAAGCTTTGTTCATGGCTAGAGGCATAAGATCTCAGGCAACAAAGTATGCTTATGTAGTTGGCGCACTCCCTATTGAGATTGCCGCTGAAGTCGGGGATTTAATCGACCACATACCAGAATCTGAACCTTATGATAAAAAAAAGACAGCCGTAATCCAACGCACCTCGGTTTCAGACGAGAGAAGACTGCATCAATTGCTAACGTCTTGCGAATTGGGGGACCCTCGTAATTACTCCGACATATGAAACATTTAGCAGGGTCATATAAGGTAGACGATGCATTACTTAGACAGATGTGGTTTCAACGTTTAACACAGAACGTCACCCAAATTCTCAGCGTATCAGGAACTACTGTCAATCTCGACGATCTAGCTGATATGGCAGACATGATGATGGAGATTTATCCCGACAGTCAGTGTTTGAATGCACTACAAACCTCTAGTAGAGACGCGATGAACCCCCCTCTAGACATCCAGCAGCAGATAGCACACTTAACTCAGCAAGTAGCATCATTGCAGGCGACCATTGCCACGATCCACTCTCGTCCTACCAGATCGATCACGAGAAACCGATCAAGGTCCAGACCTCGCCCTAGGTCACCCAAACGAGCAGCAGATACTTGCTGGTATCATACGACTTTCGGGGAGAAGGTACGCCGTTGCACTAAACCGTGCAACTTTAAAACAAGCAACCCAAATTACCAGGGAAACGAGACGGCCAGACAGTGATGGTGGCGCCTGTTTCTGGCCACTACCCGAGCTTTTTATTTTACGTCAGGGATCGGATTTCGGGCTCAGATTTTTTGGTCGATACAGGAGCCGAAATCAGCATAGTCCCATTACACCTATCTCAACGACGGCACTCTCAAAGTATTAAATTGTCTCTAGTCGCAGCCAATAATACAGTCATTAAAACTTGTGGTGAACAATCACATATCTTGGATCTTGGTCTCCGTAGACATTTCACATGAGTTTTCATCGTAGCTGAAATCAAACAACCCATTCTCGGGGCCGAATTTCTTGCTTACAGTCTATTGGTAGATATGGGGAAAAAGAAATTTATTGACACAGGCTTACAGGTCAATGGCACTCCTACCTCGAATTACGAAATTCAAAGCGTTCGAATGTTAAGACCTGAAAACAAAATTTTCACTGATATCCTGTCCAAGTACGAAAAGTATAAACAAAGTTATTAATAATCAATAGTAATATTAAAATATACAATTAATTGTTACAAATACTATAAAAATTAGAAACGTTACTTAAATTGATCAAATGTTGCGTGTTCTGATTAGGTCCAGTAATGTAAATCCACAATTATAAATGCTTGATGTTTCTGAGCAGGTTGGTGAACTCTAGTGATATAGTCCAACGTAGGATGTGATATATTCCGATTACAGTCTATAAATGTAGATAGTATTTGATTTAGACTTCCGTTAACTCAATCACAAATGAAAATAGAACGAGGAATGTGTGAGAAGCAGTGTATTTGTTAGCCAGCAACAGTATGTCACGCTATGTAGTAGCACAACGGAAAGTGTGTTCAAGGTCATTTACTAAAACAACAGTTACAGTCATTTAATGTTAAATGTACATACAGTGAAAGATTGACAAAATGAATACAAATAACATTGAAAACTATTTACAAAATAAGGTTGTCAGGCTCATCTCTACAGAGGAAATCCCTAAAGTCAAATGATCTTGGCCACGGTTTATAGCGGAATTTCGGGGCTTCTGTGCCATTTCCCCAAAGTTTACTACGGCGGCTTCCCCGAAATTTCTCTAAAATTAGAGGATCGGGATAATTAGCACCCAAACAGTATAATTTTTAAAGTCAAGTATGCGACTAGTGACACAATCAACTCTATTTCTTTCAAGTTCTAGAAGGATTGTAAGGCTATAAACTACCTTAAAGTTTCAAGTGATCATGGACTACAAGGGAACTCATCCATTTTCGACAATGTGATATTCCATCATTCTTTCTGAAGTTATTTTCCCTCTCTCTCCCAGGAGTCAGGCACTTACCATCATCGTTAGATAACAACATATATCACACCATGAGAAAAATCTGGTGTTCAGACTGACATGAACAACCACCAGCTTATATGGATTACTCCATTAGTATATATGATCATGAAAAAGTACTTGCTCACTGAAGGACTTGTCGGTGATTCGTTACGTGGATTGATTAATTTAGTCTGTACTCGACGTAGCCGAGTTTATCTTACCTTAATGTTGTACTTGTTTCTTAAAGGGTTTAATTCTTCCCTCAGTCACCAATACCAGTAAGCCAAAATCAACTCCTCCTTGCTGGATGCTGCGCTGGTCATAAATGGTGTAATACTAGGTAGTGTCTTGGGCTTTTGCTTATTTTAGTTTTCATCAATAATATTTGTGGTTGCTTTTGTATGGGTAAATCTCTTCTACATGCAAGTCTTAAAGTAGTGCAGTCATTTTCTCATCACGATTTGAACACCACGCGAAATCGCATCAGAATAGGTCATAACAAAGTAACCCAATATTGCTCAATACTGAAGTTTGAGCTTTACACAGCTAAATGTAATATGATATGTCTCGGTAACAATCCACTCAACTTAGATCTTACCATACATGATGAGGTGTTACCTAAGTTACATACAGTGGTGGACTCAGGTTGTTGGAGACGTTAGATCCCCAGAACTCACTTGCAAAAGGACCTAATTTTGTAATTTTATTTAGAAAATTTGACTTTCTTTGTTTTTGCGCCAAAGGCTCTCCTGTCACCTTCATGTCGTATTTCCAACTGGGAAATATCTTGTTCCGTTTCTTTTTTTAGTATGCTATTTAATAACCCTCCCCAAGGACGGTTTTGTACTGTATATATGTAGAGTTATGGTCTACTATGATATTAGTACTGCGCTAATAATAGACCTAATCCTAAAATTGTGGACTTGTCGTAATATAAATGCCTAATCTATAAGATCTTATACAGAAGTCACACCAACGCATCGTGTCGTAACAATCACCTATACATGATGTAGAACAAGCTTAGGCTAGAGATAGAACAATGCGTTTAATATGAATAGACGATAGAAGATAGCATTCAACAAGGAACACGCCTGCAAGGCCGAGCCATGCCATTCGATCAAATCCAATTTATTCAACTCATTGTTCCCGCCTTCTCCATCGTTATGCATTTCTCCGAGTTAAATATTGCATATCTATTTTCGGAGTAGTCTCGTGTTCGGCTTTGAGGATTGTATGCTTGTGGTCCCATGCCACCACATATATACGTTTTGAATTGTGTTTGTTGTTATTGCTCGTTTCTGGCTGTTTGTAGAATAATCTTCCCCATTCCAAGCTTGGACTCCTCCCTCTAATTAGTGGGGATGGGACGCATCAATAGCTAGCTTGCTGCACTTTGGTCACCGAGTCTTGTTTCTCGTTCGCAAATTAAGTGAACTCGTGATAGCTTCAATCCCAGCTTAAGTACAACTACAATTTGTCTTTCACAGAACTGGTTTCGAAATAGACCTCCAAGGACCAACGTCTTATATATATATATATATATATATATATATATATATATATATATATATAATTTGAAATCTCTAAAACAACAAGTCACGTATTTTCACGTATAAAGAATATATTTGATCACTCCTATAATACTGCACTTTAATTCTTAGCAGTGTTTACATGAAAGATAAATTAATGTTGGAATTTGTCCGGAAAGGATTTACACTTTGCATTTATATGAAATAATTCAATACGCAGAAACTCCTAGGTTCAGAATCCATAGCTACCTTTCATTATTGAAAGAAACGCATTATAAGTCGTCTATCTATATAGATTACTCTATTAGTTGATTTCTCAGACTCTGGAATAATGTATCATAGTCTGTCCGTGAGATAAAATATATGCCATCCATTGTTCGCAGCATCAATGCTTACCTCTCCTATGAATATGCACTAGATGTTGCTACCCCTGTAAGTATATTTTATTCCACAAGTGAGATCATAGGAATTTTATATCTATAGCTATGTTTGTTACTGGATCAACTAAACAAACCTACCTGTCTGCTGTTAATCTATAATTTCACCGTCCTTGGAAGCCTTAACTAATGTGAGTCGTAGTAATTACTGCCATTTTTGTTCCGTTCCCCCTGTTCCCATCTTGTCTCATGGAGTTGTTGATGATTACAATCAATTCGTTAGGGCTTTGTAAATTAATTCTGACCTTGTTAGTTTCATTATGCAAACCTCCATCTGAAATTTCACAATCATGCATCCTCTCTAGATCATCGTTTGGTAAGCCATATTGCCAATCATCCAAGACAACCAGTCAACTTCGATCACGTGCCTCCAGACACACTGACTACCTTCTCAATACTTTAACTTACTTTGGGATCCTCGATTAAAAAGACATCATAGGCAGTCGCGTCGTCAAACTCTGTTTATCCGTAACATTTTTAAACTGAATAAGCTCGTTATAATTTATCTCTGAAGCGTAGTAAATACAGGTTCCTGTATAATCTTCAATATATATGGATACGACTCGAAACTAAAAAGACGCTGAACTCTTGATTATGTCGATACTGCGATTAGTATAACATGAAATAACAATACGAGTTCAACGTTATAATAATAAATAACATTATAATAGTCTAGGAATTTACACATATCATTATCAACAGTTATTAACCCAAACGTGTATTTACTTATTAGGGCTTCGTAAGTACATTTTTTGTTTTAGCCAACGTTGTTATAGTAAAGAGTCCCGAGTATTTGATTTATCCTAAATGTCAACATTTGCTAAACCATCAATAAAATATCAACCTCCTGACTGGTTCACAAACTCTTTCGCATTAAGTGCTAACTCTCAACGTCAAAGAGAGGCATCAGAGCAAATAAGACAAGAAACACGTTCTTTACGCCTAGCAGCAGCTCTTAAAACAAAATGGGATAAATTTAACAACACTACAAGACTTGCAGACAGAATTGATGCGATAAAAGACTTTAAGGATATTTTAGAACTGGCTCACTCGCAATTAGATGCGGAAATATCGATGGTAAACCTAGGAAAAGAGGCAGTTGAGGAACAAATGCGAAATATAATAACACCCAAAGAATGCGTTACAGAGTGTCTCACACTGAGGGACAGACGCAAAAGGATAGACAACATTGAGGACGCACCGGAGATTCAGTTAAAGAAAGTTAGGTTGATGGTTTGTGCTCATATAAGTTATAGGAAAAAGAAGTGATTGATAAATCCAATAAAAGACTTCAGCAGAAAGTGGATGAGGCATTCGAACAGATGGTTCTCCTTAAAGAGGCCAGACAACAAATACTACTCGATCTACAGGATAAGCATGCTGCTATGGACATTGACATCCAACAGTACAAACTGACACATACCTGTCCAGGAGTTTCTTTCAAGTTTAATCCAACACGAATTCCAAAAGGGTAACTGTAGTCATATATTT